TATTTATTTATATCAAATGGCAGGCGTTTTGATGGCTATCATTAGCCCTTTAGTTGGCTTCAGGCTTCACTGAGGGGAAGGAACATCAAAGTAAAATAAAAGTCGAGAGGGGGGACAGAAGGGTGGTTCAAAGATGAAGGTAGAAAAGGTAGAAAAAGGTGAGGTGAGTACTGTGAAAATAGTTGGCTATCACATTCGGTGGGGTGATGGTAGTTTGAACTTTTAGCATATTTATGAACTCAGTTGGCTCGGAAGGTGAGACAAAATCTAGCTCACAGGCGAATGTCACGCCGAGTTTTTTTTCAGGTGAAGCGGTCTTTAATCAGTTTGCATGTTGAACGAATGCTTTGGCGCAATAATGAACGAGAGTGATCAAAGATCTTCTGGCAATGTGATTGCAGGACAAATGTCTCGGATTTCTGACGGAAACATAAGAAGGGTTTTTTTTGCATTAGAAATGATGTAGAGCAGATATTAAGAGTTCAAAGAACGATTTCCGAAAATTCTAAATGGAACTCCAGATTGAGATGCATCCATATTTAGAACACTTCAAGCTTCAATGGAAGCACTAAGAAAACGTAGTAGGGTTGCTATAGCCAATTGCTGTTTTACCGCAACAAACGTTGATTCTGCTTGCTTTAACAGAGTCAAATTTTTTAGCTATCTTTAAGCAAAATTTAACTGTAGTATGGAATGAATCAACTATTGAGTTTTCTTGGGCATGAGATGCCAAGGAAATCGATCCCAGTTCGGCCAAATGTGCACTTCTCGTGATTAACCGTGACCTTACGTTGCTCCAGTTTTTCATATTATTTGTCTTAACTGTTGATTGGCCTCTTCAGGATTGGAAATACTAATTCGGCTTTCGTCAGCATATGCCAAGATGCAATCCTGACCGAATAATACTCTGACTATGAATATTTGAAACGACTGCGCCTTGTTAAGTAGGCGAAAAACTTAATCAGGAACGCCTGATGAAAAGCTCAAACACTGTCCAAATTTAAGAATTGGATAACAATCAGCAGCAGCTATTGAAATGAGAGTAAAATAAAATTCACATGATCGTTACTCCCTGATTTCATCTCCACCTTCTTGTGTGGGGATAATTTCATGTACTATTTGGCGGTCGAGCGATCCCTAAGGATCAAATGTGCTGGAGTATTTCCTTGACACCATGCAGTTTGTCAGGATAAGGACGAATTGCTTTGGAGAGTACACGCGTACAGTATTACTATCGTAATTTTGCACCACATGTTTGGAGTTTGTGATATTAGAATGGTCACGAGAAGAGTTGGTGATAATAATGCAAAACTCTTTTGAATGTGTTGTAAGGGTCGTCTTCTGGTATTTTGCCAAGTTATCAATCATTCATGTAGGTACACCAGCTGGGATCACAGAAGAGGCGTGTTAAAATATCACTCTCCTTCTTGTAGTTGGAAGATCTTTTTCAACTGTAAGAACCATGTGTGCGATTTCCTGGGGTCGAAAATGGGGTAGTTGGGAAGACAATTCACAACTGTTAGAAGGGACAAAGGAAGCGATTTGGGAACAGTAGGCAAGAACTTGTATAGGTTATTTGAGGAGAGGAATCACTAAATGCATTGCTAAAAAGTCCACAATTCCAGGTGGAGAAAGATTCCGTCGGGGTTAAAACTTCGCATCAATGTCACAAGTTGCCACACAAATAGGCTTGACCAAACCTCAGGACTTCTTTCTAGCAAAACCTCTTCCAGTAAACTGCTCCGAAATTAGCACGTTGGGTCAGCGGTATCGAAGACACAGAACGCATAGAGTGAATGTCGTTTATTACAAAACCAGTGAATTGCACCAAAACTTAATCTGCAAATCTCGAACAAATATTATCAGTAACAAATTGCATTTTTGTCGGCAAAATCAAAATTTATTTTATTTCAGATAGTGCATTACAACATATTATAATCTTTACTTAATTTTTACGTACCTTTTGAAGGCAAGAATTAAATGAATGCAAACCGCCAGACCGACGTAAGTAAAATTAAAGGTTTCTTTCCTTAAAACTAACTAAATAAAGCGTTTTAAACTAGGCTATTTTGTACTGCTGATTTACCTTTCGAAACGAAAAATTATCCGAACAGGACTTAATGAAAGGATTGTAGAGGTTTGCTACGCTAGTAAAGCCTGACCTAAGTCTCAGGAACCTTTTGGGCAGATTCTCCTAATTACTGAGTCTCCAGAAAGAGACGTATCACAGAAACGTTTATTCACCAGATAAGGATAGCAAATTGTGGTTTTTGGCAAAGCGATTAGTTATCAGATAAGTCTAGCATAATTCGCATGAATATTAGTAGCTAAATATTTGTGAGTAATGTTCTATAGCAGGATTTCTATTTGAAGATTAATGAAGGATAGGTCCTTTAGAGCCACTTTTTCAAGAACCTCGCTACCTACTGCTTTCTCTCATTTGATTAGTTTAATTGATTGACCGTACCACTTGTACATGACAGACATGCCTGTTGACGATATCTAATGAATTCAGTAAGATTTGAATAAATAACTTAAGGCTAGTTGAATAGACAATATTGTTAGTTTGCTAAAGACCCGTGGCGATTGCATACCCTTTTAAAAGTAACTCAAAATAGATTATCGTAAAGTAAATAAAATGTTAAAAAATATAGTTTACTCATAGGACTTCAAGTTTATTTTAGTTTAAAAGTAGTATAGTTCATTTTGTTAGTCAATAATCTGGCAGTCCCATCTGAATTATTGGCATGAATTTTCATTAATCATTCATTTTCCCTCTCTACCTTTATGAAAAGTCTAATATGTGCAGCATATTTTAAAGGCGTGTTAATCCTTTAACGACCGAATTATTTTATTTTGAAAAATGCACCCAACCGGATTCACGCCGGCTGATGCCGGCTTGTTGGGGTTTGTTGGTATTAGACGAAGGCTATAAACGTATTGTGCATGCGCCAGACGGCAAGAGCGCTTTCTGTTATGAGTCAAGTACCAATGGAGCTTATTTTGAAAGAGGACTGTACCGACCTAAGGGGGCTAAGGGGTTAGAGTATCGATTTGAATTTTCCTTGAAAAATGCCGGAAGCACATTTACAAACAAACACATTGATATTGGGGTGATATTTGGCAATAGCGGAGTCGTTTTCTATATGTTCATAATTAAATATCAGGTCATTTATTTTATCAACATGATACTTCGCAGTAGGTAATGAGAAATGGTAAATAGTAATATGGTTCGAAGCTAATAGATAGTAACAATATTAGGTATCTCACCAATTTTTTTTCCACATTTACCACTGGAGATGGATTCATAGTTTCATTATAAATGCAGTTACATTTTTAATCTATCAGAAGATTGCGAAAGACAAAACAAATAATAATGTCTAAATTGCAGATAGGCATGATTCTAACTCACTTTAAATGTAGTGTTAAAGTTAGCAAGTGCTTCATTCTTCTGACAATTTTATCAAAGTCATTAAAATTTAATTTTTAATTGTTCAACGTATTAGTATTAACGTCAAATCTGGTAGTTACAGAAGAGGCTTAAGGAATTCGCCAAATGTAAGTGTAATGTAATGTACGTGTTGTAAATGATTCCATCATTTTAAATAGGTTTCACTACCGTTTTGGAAATAGAATTGATTGGTGGAACTAGGATGTATGGAAGTCTCCGAAGTTTTAGATTAGAGAATAATATTTAATATATACATTCGATAATGAAGCTTCTAAAATTCCGTGTTTTCTATGCAATCGTAGTAACTGCAAAAATTCATGCATTTATTTAAATATTCTAGGAATAAACACAAAAATCATTTAAGGCTAATTGAGTATTTAAATTAGCGATAGGGAAGGGCGCTGGTTTTAGCCATAAGTCTTCACGCGCTGTACACGTGAGAATGGTGGATACTAACGCAGAAAATTACGTCAATGAGGTAAGGATTAACTAAAATAAATGACATTTATCTTATCGTGAATTTTATCTCATTTGCTATTCCCGGATTTTTTGCTTTCAGGAGTCTGTCGAGTTATCTTGGGCGATTGCCGCATATGATCATGCAGAGGTCCATTATGATATTCTCTCTGCGGTTCCAGATGCTAAGATTCTACGGCTGTCTCCTTTTGATGATAAAATATACGCTGCCTTTTGTAAAGCTTTTCCCGATTTTGATGTAGATCGCTTCACGGAAGACGATATTAAATCAGATGAGAAGAAAGTGGTATGTTTAAAAATAATATGGGAATTTCATTACGGTATTTGATGCTGCTTCGTTATTAATGTGATACTAATTTTAGCTCTGGCGAGAATTTTGTGACAGTTTCGAAGGAGTTGTCGATGACTTCAATCGTGGAACTCTCCTTAGATTGGATTCCTCTCAAGAATATTCTGAAACCAATACCTGCATCGGTATTTTTTTTGAAGCTATTGTGAAATTTAATGTTTATTTAATTGATATGTGATTTAATTTTTATGTCACTGGTTAGTGCCTCGAGTTCAGTATCTTGCTATTGAGATTGCACGAAATCGACGAGGCATCAACAACCAAATACACAAAGTGAGACACGGATCTTGATGATATTCCCATAGATTTACACTGATTTCAAATGTATAATCTGTAAAATATAACTTTTTGCAATGTATTTTTTATAGTTTTACTTTTTGTATTAGTGACCATCAAGTAACTATTTTATAATTTCGGTTGCAAACGTGAGTTAAGAATTAGGGTCCTATTAATTTGGAATATTTTGGATTTCATTTCTTCCTGTTGAGCAATTTTGCCTCCTTTCTCTTCGCTTCATTTTCTTCTTTTACCATTTTTGCTTTCTTTTTTCCTAACGGAGTTTTGCAATACCATTTCTAAAATAAAACATTCGAAATCAGGAACGAGTTTTATGTAGGACATGTGTTCTTATTGTTACCTTATATGCTCCTTCTTCATCAACAAAAACTGGATCATTTCGAGCTAAGGGAGAGATTAGTTCAGATCCTTTGAGAGGTATTTTTTCCATGAGGGATAAGCGACGATCTGTTAATATTTCTTTACAGGATCTGTCCATCATGCCTGCAGTATAACCATCAGAAACCTTCGCAAGGGAAGAAATATCCAAATCTCTTGTCAGCTTTCCTCCGTTTTTCACAATAAGTGTTTTCCAAAGAACTATAACGGATGGTAAATTGGGCTAGTTGTAACTCACGATAACGAGTGCCGTAATCAGGACGTGGAATTAGTATAATTCGATCGAACAATTTGCAAAATGGCTTCACTTTGGCATCAAAGGGTGCTTTCGTGCTACCCACCAACAGGATTCTACTGCCCTGTTTTACAGTCTTCATGGCTTTCACTATATTTTTCTTCAGTGGTTGGAGATTCATCTAGAAAAAATGTGCGTGTCTACTTATCTACTATTCAGTAGTTGTAGTAACGCGACGTTACCCTTTCAGATTTTGGGATTTTCGTGCCAAACATGCGTTCACATTGATCAATCATAATGACAGAGGGCTGTAGGAGATGTGCGACCTTAAATACCATATTAATAAGGAGTCGAATTGCTCGCTTCCCATCGTACTTCCCCGCAATGTTGGTAGGACTAAGGTCAAAGAGGTTGGCTCCTGTTTCAGTGCAAATTGCCTTCACTAGCATTTTCTTTCCTGTTCCCTCTGGTCCTGCTAACATAATCGACCGTGTAAGAGGCACCTTAGCATGGACATCCGGCGAACCTGCGGTCAAAATAAGTATCAGACACATCCTGCAAATCCATTTCAAGGTAAAATAACCGTTGCCTACCCAATGGAAGAATCCCATAGAGTGTGACGAGTTGTTTGACGTCAGAGAGTGAGGGTTGAATTTCAGTCTTTTCATCACCATGATACGAATATACATCGTAATATTTACTTAGATTTGTACTTTCCGGTTTTTTAATTATATCCATAATAACCAATTCCTCGCAAATTGATTCTAAGCTTCTAATTGTCCGTTAAAATGGAATTGATTTGTATACCTGCCCTTAGTTAGGTCTTTCATTGCACCCTTCTTTCTCTTAGTCTTCGCTATCTTCGCCTTCTTGTTTATTCTCTTTTGTTTCTCCTTATCAATGGCTATTTTCAAGTTTCGCAACTCTTGTCTCATCAGTTCGTCGACCTGTAAGAATTTATAGAAAAAGTAACCTTCGTGTTAAGTAATGAAACATTTAAGATCAGGTGAAGAAGTAGGAATCAATTTACCTACATTGGCACGGATTTCATTTTCGATTTCAGAATGTTTCTCCAATTTTATGATATCTTCGTTGTGCCTTTGAAAAAAATTGTCAGATTCGTTTCTATTTTTCCATTTGTCTTATGAAATATAGTAAAGAGCTGTATTACGTCATTGTCAAATAAGTAAATTAAGGTACAATTAATTTTGCTAGTGTGGCAATCAAGCTTTTGGAAAGCAATTTTTTATCCGATGGTGGCAATCATTGGGAGTAAGATTTAGTAGTTTATGAATGGTAAGGTAACTTTTTATCATTCAGATAATACTTATTTAACCTCATAGTTTATATATTTATTTAAGTTAACCTTTCAACACTCGAGCCTAGCAATGTGTTCCCATGGGGATTGTATTACTGTCTAACCGTCCAGCCGATCAGTTTTCATTTAATTTAAAAAGTCTCTTGACCAAATTATCTTGCACTCATTTCCTGATTTGTTTTTGGTCGTAGAACTTGTTTAGCGAGAAGACTGCTATTGTGCAAATGATAATCGTACGAGACGCTAGTGTAAGACCATTTATCCTCTTCGGTTAGTAATCTCTAATTGTACTTAGATTGAAACTGCTCAAGAAAGCGTGCTGCTTTGAGTGCTCACCGTTATACTCCGCGAGTCCATCGTTAAGGTTTTGGATGAATTGTGATTCCGACATAGTCCATCCCTCCGGTTTCTTCTACAATGTTAATTCATTTTCATTTACGGTTAAACGAGAAGCGTAGGACAGAATCGAGGCGAACCTCTTTCTTTTTAGCCTCTGTAGCTTTTTCTGTTTTGACACTTTTTTTTGGCATCTGAAACGCCAAAAGATTAAATTCCTTAAGTAAATTGATACGATATGCTGTTTCTTCATGACTTGATAAAACTTACTCGTTTTGCTTCCTCCTTGGCCGTGAGTTCGAGAGGTTTGCGCTTAAAAAGCCACTGGGAGCCACCTTCAGCTTGTGGGGGAATATTTGGAAAGATGCCGTTTGCCTCCCTGTTTGAAATGGAAGGCTATGATTTATTATGTTATTCAAGAGGATGCTAAAACGAATAGACGGTTGCAAAATTTTAACTAAAATTTATCGAATCCATCAGAGTAACTGTATTGAGTGAAGAAGATTTAACCCGTATTCGTTCTTAATAAAAACTCTACTACCACTCTTATTGACTCAAAATAATCGTGTGAGCATTGATCTTTGGCTTGACAGACTTGCACTTTGACCAGTGCGATAGGCCATAAAAATACTAATCCGATTCTGTGGCTATTCAGACGAAACATCTATTACAAAGGAATTAGATATTTATTTATATCAAACGGCAGGTTTTATGATAGTTATCATTAGCCCTTTAGTTGACTTCAGGCTTCACAGAGGAAGAGGAACATCAAATCGAAAAAAAAGTCTAGGGGGGGGGGCGAAGAGAAGAGTGTTTAAAGACGTTAAAGAGACAGACAGACACAAAGGGAGAGAAAAGGTAGGATAAGTATGGTGGAAGTGATCGAATATGACGTACAGTAGGGTCATAGTAGTTTGACGTCAGAAGTCAACTGCCGATAAATAGACTTTTTTGACGTATGATTATACGTTGCCCAGGGTGCACCGCGTGGAGGTAAGTCTATTGCACACCCCAGGAATTAGATATGATAGGGTAATCTATTTATCATAAGCATGTGACAAAGTGGTCAAAATTTAGTTCTAACAAGGGGGGGGGGGCTAAGAGTTCAATAACTTTCGGTGACGCGGATGACGAACCGCACTGATTATGTCTAACCCATAAGATGAAACCCCATACGAAAATGGGTTTGCAAGCTTGAATGAATGGCATTTATTCAAGCCTTCTACATAATTAAAGAGAAGAGTAAAATGTAGGTACAATACCAACCAGCGGGGAGAATGAAAGCGGAATCAAAGGTATTAAGGCTTGAAGAACTTAAAGGCATGCATGTATGGTCCAGCCTAATCATCCTAGGAACCCAATATCTGTCAATGTCCTGTCGGTAAAAATTAGCATATGGGATAAATGAGCCTAAAAGCATATCTTCGAACCCGCACTGTCACAACACTGATTCACATAGCTAACAAAACTGCCTCTCACACAAAGGTATTTAAAGAGGTTATGCACGTGACTTCTTAAGATTTCATCATGGAAGTGGGATTTCTGTAAGAAAAATAGATAATTCGTAGAATACTCTCAAACACTTTTAATTAAATGACAAAAAATAATTTAGATAGTTACAGATTATCAATACATTTAATATCTAAAATACTTAAGTGCTAATTCGTGTCTCAAATAGGCATGCAAGGGAATACCTGCATTGAAGAAACCACTGCCGCAATTGTTCCTTCATCCTATCCTGCATATTAGCTCCCTCAGTCAACCGAATTTGCTCCTTTAATTTAACCAACGCTTGATCATATTCATTTTTATAAATATATTGAAGGACACGTCGATGCCTCTCAATTGTTTGAGCATTTTTAGTTGTGTTTTGCACGACAGAATTGTAATGCAAATCTTTGGGCTCCTGTAGAGAGAAAGAACCAATGAAATTGGTGAAAAGTCATTTACCATTCCGAGCCAGATAAATTCTTCCTGACGCAGTCTTTTCGTGTATTGCCTAGCTAAATATCCTCGCCAATGCTGAAGAGTGGTAAAATAAAATTTATTTTTTACCTTTTGTATGATCATAGCAGCATTCTCGGAAGTTAATGAACTTCTAACTTTCAAGTCTAAGTTATCTTCTGCTTCTAATTTCATGCGGTTTTCTTGAAGTATTTTGGCCCGTAAGCGGCCTTGTCTTGCACGTTCATGCCTTTGAATGATCAGAACTGCTTCAGATATGGGCAAATGCTCTTCTTCCTACAAAATCCATATAAAAGTGTATCCGCTTGGCATACTTTTGCGTTTGTGGCGTCTATTCGATTTCGAATATTGGAAATAAAAGAATGTCTATCCCTTATAGTACTCTCGTTATCAATCACATAGTATTTTGGAATTGGTATTTCAAAATCTGATGGAGTCACTTTGAACTCAGACATTATATCATCAAAATTATGACATTCGCTAAGTTCAATCTTTACCAACTCCTGTTTAATTTCAAGAATCCGACCAATAACTCCGTCTAGTATACTTCGTAGAAGGATTCGTTTTTGCGGATGAACTATCTGATCATAACACTTTTCAATTTTCCGAAAGATACTAACATAGTTAAAGAATAGCTTTGCACATTCTTTAAATGCTAAACTCAAATCCTATATATAGAAATCAGACTAAGATAATATTACATTAAACGTTTTGCCAGATTTAAAGGATTCCTCTTTTAGTATATTTTCAATGAACAACTGAGCTTCTTTCCACTCTAAATTGTACGCCCTTGGATGGTAATATAAGATTAAGGACCTACTCGTGTGACATTTTAAATTGCCAAAGTATATTAGTTACCATAACAACTAAACGACCTTTAATTAGTATTTAAGACAAAATAAAACATAAGTGACCATTTTTAAAATTTAAGAGCTTTTATACACATTTCTTCTTTGTTTTAAGAACTCAGTTCATGGTATAAATAAAAAGAACTAAAGTTATTTTTTTATTTCAAATGGCAGGCTTTATGATATTTATCATTAGCCCTTAACCTTTGACTTCAGCTTCCCCCAAGAGGGATGGGGAGGGGTACATTTATAGCAGTTAATTAATAGCAGTTCATTAGCTGTCTTCTTGCTTCCCAGTATCTCTGGCTTTCCGTCGTTGTCTTTAGGGCTGGACACCGACTCAGATGGGTCTTCTCCATTTCCTCATGTAGGTTACATAGAGGGCATGTGGGTTGAGTGTATACTCCCAATCTGTGAAGGTGTTTTGCCAAGCAATCGTGTCCGGTACGTAGTCTAAACTCAGCAACGGCTTCGATTCTTGGCCAGTCGGGTATG